CTTTAATTTTTAGTATTAAAAAATATATTAAAATTTGTCTATATATTTTCAGTTATATACAGATAATTATATTAAGTCAGTCTTGTATTTTTAAATTTTATTTATTTTTCTGAAGGCGGAGAGAGAAAGAGCAGATGGACAGAGAGACTACCCATCTACTAATTCATTTCCCTATTGTCCACAATGGACTGCAGGTACCTAAGACTGCAGCCAAGAGCTAGGAATTCAATCCAGGTCTCCCATGTGGGTAGCAAGCAGGGAGCCCAATTAATTGAACCATCACCACTGTCTCCTACAGTGCACATTAACAGGAAGCTAGATTCAAGAGCTAGAGCTGGGAATCAAACTCAAGAACTCCCTAGCATGGGAGGCAAGCATCTTAACCATCAGGCTAAACACTTGTCCCTGGTCTTATATTTTTAGTAACATTCACGTTTACTTATCTACTATGTTATTTGATATAAACAGGTTAATGAGTTTTTTCAATTTTCATAAATTATTTTTATATTATTGTTTAATATTTCAGTCTATCCTATTTAATGTTTTCCTATTGCTTATCCTGTTCTGTACTTTCAAATTCTATCTTTTCTGCTCTTATGTTGTCATCCATGCATTCTAAATTTCATTTCATGCTCATCTGATACCTTTTTGTATTTTTATTTTTGCAAATAATATATACCTGAGTTTAATTTTTTAACCTAAAATAGCTGACTAAACTTATATAATTCATTTCATTTATAGTAATTTAATAGTTAATATATTTGATAAGAGTGGGAATAAGAGAGGGAAGAGATGTACAATTTGGGACATGCTCAAGCTGACTTGCCCCAAATGGTAGAGTTAGAAACATACCAGGGGATTCCAATTCAATCCCATCAAGGTGGCATGCACCAATGCCATCTCACTAGTCCAAGTGATCAATTTCAGTTCACAATTGATCATAATGAAAGGACTAAGAGTCAAAGGGATCACATAAGCAAGTCTAGTGCCTGCTAATACTAACCGATAGAATAAATAAAGGGGAGAGCGATCCAACATGGGAAGCGAGATACACAGCAGACTCATAGAATGGCAGATCTCTTAAACAGCACTCTGGCCTCAGAATCAGCCCTAAAAGCCTTCGGATCCAGCTGAAAAGCCCATGAGAGTATTTCAGGCATGGAAAGCCAAGACACTGTGGCAAAAACAAACAAACAAACAAACAAAAAAAAAAACAAAAAAAAACACCTAAATGAAAGATCTCTGTGAGTGAGATCCCAGTGGAAAGAACAGGTCTTCAAAGAAGGAGGTACCTTTCTCTGAAGGGAGGAGAGAACTTCCACTTTGACTATGACCTTGTCTAAATAAGATTAAGAGTCGGAGACCTCAAAAGGCTTCCATAGCCTTGGAAACTCATGACTGGTGCATAGGGAGATTACTGATGCCATAAACAAGAGTGTCAATTTGTAAAGTTAACAACAGGAGTCACTGTGCACTTACTCCTCATGTAGGATCTCTGTCCTAAATGTGTTGTACATTGAGATTTAATGCTATAACGAGTACTCAAACAGTATTTCTCACTTTGTGTTTCTATGTGGGTGCAAACTGTTGAAATCTTTACTTAATGTATACTAAACTGATCTTCTGTATATATAGAAAATTGAAAATGAATCTTGATATGAATGAAAGGGGAGGGTTGCGAGTGGGAGGGAAGTCATGGGGGGGGGGTGCCAATGTAGTCCATAAGCTGTACTTTGGAAATCTATATTCATTAAATAAAAGTTAAAAAAAATAGTTAATATATTTGATTTTATCCTGTCATTTTATTTTAAATTTATTTATCGTATTTTATTTTTTTAAAAATTTGCTCAGGAAACAGTTTTCCATAATTTTTTTGGAATTGATTTATTTTTGTTTATTTGAATGAGAGAGAGAGAGAAATCTTCCATTCACTGGTTCATTCCTCAAATGCCTGTGACATCCAAGGCTGAGCTAAGCCAGGAAGCTGGAACTCAGTCCAGGTCTCCCCACATGGGTGGTAGGGACTCAAATAATTGAACCATCGCCTGTTGCCTCCTGGTATGAACATCAGCAGGAAGCTGGAATTGGAAGTAGAACAAGGACTCAAACCCAGACACTCCAGTATGAGATTCAGGCATCCCAAACAGTGTCCTAACTGCTATGCCAAATACCCATCCCAACCGCTTATTCTATTGATTTGGAATATGTACTATACTTTTTAATTCATTATTTTTGTATTTATCATTAATGCATCTCTATTATTCCATGAGGTTCTTCCTTCTCCCCTTACCCAGTTTTCCCAAATGAGACTTCTAAGGTGCTTTTGATTCCCTACTCTCCACCCCTCCACCCACTAAAGGAGGCATAGCAAACATTTTTACTTCCTCCCACCCTCCCCCAACTTTTACCTGTTAGAATTTCTCTTGTGATATGTCATTTTTACTTTGAGTCCATAGGTAGCCCTTATATTGCACCATATTAAGTAAGTCCTCATTATTTAATTCGTTTTGAAGTTTTTATTCATTTTATTTATGTGAAACACAGAAAGACTGATGGAGAGAAAAAGACAGATAGACAGAGATCTTCTTTACTAGTTCAATCCAAATGCTTGCAACCCCTGGGGCTAAGCTTGGCTGAAGCCAGGAGCTGAAAACTCAATCCAGGTCTCCCACTTTAGTGACAGGGACCCAGGTCCTGAGCCATCACCTTTTGCCTGTCATTGTGTGCATTAAGGAGAATCTAAAAATTGGGAGTAGGGCTGGGACTTGAACCCAAGACTCCAGTATAGGATGCAGGTATCTTAACTGCTGTGCCAGATGCCTGCCCCCTTCATTACTTATTTCAACTTGACTCTATGGATATTCCAAGTTTTCTTGTTTACCATTGTTTCCTCTCCTCTCAATCTTTCCTCAGTTTGAGCATGCTCCACAAATTCGCCTGATGTTTTTTGAACCCTAAGCCTGTTTTAAATCCCATGAGCCATGGAAAGGTGCAGGCATCTCAGTCATTACGGATCAGTAATAGGCAAGTTGCCAGTTACCTGTGGAGGCACCAGGAACAAGCCCTTCATCTACATTAGGGTAAAGAAAACTCAGTCAATCCAACCCTCCTTAGGTCAGAGGATCAGGAACACTCAAGGGTCCTGCAGTCACTGAGGGACAGGGTCACCTGTTCATGATGGTCTCCTCTTAGAGCTTTCTTGCTATGGTCACAAAATTCTTATCCAGTCCAGAGCAACAAAGGGCCATGGCTGCTGTCTTGCTCATGCCCTCTGAGAATCAGTCCTCAGGTCTACCTGGTTTCAGAAACTAGGATGTGTTTGACCTGAGTGAAGCCATCATCTTCCCAGAATCCCCTGGGGATATAATGGTGAAAAGTAAAAATGATACATTCCTTGGGCTCATGGGGTTTATGGGCTAGTTAGAAGAGAAATAATTAGAAAGGAAAAAAGGGAAGGAGGAAAGGAATGAGGAAAAGAAGGAGGGAAGAAGGGAGGGAGGAAAGACAGAGAGAAGGAGAGAGAGGGAGAGAAGGGAGGGAGCATGAGAGGGAGGAGAAAAAATAAAAATAAACACAAAATTCTGAAATCATAACTGTGAGAAGTGTTATGGAGGAAAGGTAAAAAGAATTGTGAAAAAATGCGTGGAAGAAGCTGACCTAGCAGGGGTGTCATGAAGTGAAGTCTGAGGAACAGTGACTGAGTTGAGGTTCCCAAGGAAGAGTAGGAGTTAATTGTACAAGGAGAGATGAAAAGAAAGCTCCGGACAGAGCAGCAAAGTCAAAGGCATTACAAGCACAGCACATTGGACACACTCAGGAACTGAAAGAAAGCCAGCTTGGCTGGTGCTGAAAGAGCAAAGAGAAAAAAGGGGCTGAGGGGGCCACAGAGTCTTTGTGAGCCATTGTAGGAGAGTGTTATAAGCCACTGGAGTCTTATTGCAGGGGTAAAATATATGACTCAAAGTTTCAGAAGATCATGAGGATTCAGTGCAGAGAACAAGTTTAAAGGATCCGTAAGATATTGGGAGACCAATGAGGAGGCTGTTATAAGAGTCCAAGAGAGAGATAATGATAAAATGGTGGACAACTTAAAGAAATGGAGAAGGGGAAGCAGAATGTGCCTCAACTGTGGAAAAAATACATACAACTAAAGAGTGTGAGAGAGACAGTCAGAGGCAGAGGGAGAGAGATCTTCCATCCACTTTTTCACTTTCCAAATCTGGCAACAGCCAGGGCTGGGCCAGATGGAAACCAGTAGCCAGGAACTCATTCTGAGTCTCCCACATAGGTGGTAGCAGTGCAAGTACTTGGGTCATCATCTGCTCTCTCATCATTAGCAAGAAGCTGCATTGGAAGTGGAGCAGCCAGGACTTGAACCAGCACTCCGATATGGACTGTGGGTGTCCCAGGTGCCTGCTTCACCTGCTGTGCCACACCATCAGTTCCCATTTTTATACTTTTATCTAGTTTCCAAATTTGCACTTCAGAGGCATCTCATCCTGTTAATGGTTGTCAGTCTTCCTTTTTCACAATATAATGAACATTTTTATTTGTAGTCTAACAGTCTTTTAGGTTTATAAGATTATTGCCCTGAATTTTAAAGTTTTATGGGCTACTTTTTCAGACTTGTAAAAAGCTTTAGAAAATTGAAGAGTGGTTACTAACTAAGCAATAACAAATGCTTTCCCTACAGCACTATTAATTCCCATTAATTAACTAATGACACCCTGTGTACCATACTGAGTGCATTTGTATTTCCTTCAATTCCTTTACTTTGCATTTCCTTTCTAATTGCTTAGCATTACAGATAACTCTAAGTAATTTAATGTAAGGATTTTAAAAATATGTAATGCATGTAGGAATTTGGTAATTATTTTTCCATACAATGAGTTTGGTTTTTTTTCTTCTAGAGACTGTCAGAGAACTACCCATCTGGACTGTCATTTATATCATTTTGAATTTGGTACAAAACTAACAGCCTGATTCTTTTTTACCTCCAGGAATGTGTACAAAGACTACCGCTTCCTTGAGCTGGCGTGTGATTCGCAGGAGGACGTAGACAGCTGGAAGGCATCGCTGCTGAGAGCTGGGGTCTATCCTGATAAGTCTTTAGTAAGTTGAATATACCTTTCATCTATAAATTATTAATAGCCATGTTTAGGAAGCCATATCAATTCTATACACTATTCACTAGAGATACTTTTTATTATTGACTTCATTAGTTTGCCACACTTTTAACTGAAATTTTATTTATTCTTTTCATATTGCTTTTTACAATGCTTTTTCTCCACTGGATTTCTGTTTTAAAAAGTTAACCAGTGTATTTGTTAAAGAAAATGGCCTATTGTGCCACAAAACGTAATAGTGTGATTGCTGACCAGAGAAACCTCTTAGTTTTATTTTAAATTTTTATTTTCCTCTATATGCTAATCCACAGTTGTCATGGAATTAATACAAATCAGGTATCATTAATCATAATGCCAATATTTCATCTTCTTAAAAATATACTTATTTTGATGAAAATCTACCTCCTTTCATTATGTCTGTATTACTTGTATTCACAATTATATCTGTATCCAAACTCTGTTTAACATCATTGTGAATGTGAAAGAACAAAAAATATTTTACTACTATTCCCACTTATCTTTATTAATGTACTTCAAGTGTCTTGGAAACACTTTTCTCATTCAAGCTAATAAACAGACTTCTCTTTGTGTTCTTTGGAAATTGTAATATTGCACAGACTAGTCTGAATTTGAACTTCAAGAGTCACACCAACATGTGTATATATGCAGATACAGCGACTGCAGATGAGTGGATTTCTCCACTGCTGCTTCCTTATGAATCTTTGTACTATCCAGGTTTCTCCCGAGAGCTAAAGTACCATGACCAAGCCTTGGGGATTTAGTTCAGCTTGGCCCCTGGGCTGCTTAATCAGTTCTTAATTGGCTTATGGGACCGATCATGTGCCATTTGGGTCCTTCCTAGGCTCAAAATAGGGATAGTATTTTCAAAAGAAAGTCTGACGTATGTGTGCAGTGTGGGGCAATTGAAATATATCTGTGGGAGATTTCAGACCTCACTAGAAAAAAAATAAGAAAGGAAAGAAAAAGATTTATATATTTATTTTGAAAGAGTTGCAGAGGGAGAGGGATAGACAGAGAGACAAAAATATCCTTCATCCACTGGTTCACTCCCCAGATGGCTGCAACAGCCAAGGCTGCACCAGGTGAAGCCAGGGACCAGGAGCTTCATCTAGAACTCCCACTTGGTAGCAGGGGCCCAAACACTTGGGCCATCTTCCACTGCTTTTCCTAGGCAGTTAGCAGGGACCTGGACTGGAGGTGGAGCAGCTGGGACAAACAGTGATGCCCATATGAGATTCAGGCCTTGCAAGCAGCAGTATGCCACAAAGCAAGCCAAAGCTCACATGTAGACCTCTTAACCCCATTATATCCTACCCTGTCTGGTTGTCCCCAAAACAATAAATCTCCCCTAACATGCCCTATGCCGTTCAAGTGGAAGTCAGATCAGATGCTTTCCTGGTGATATCCAGGTACAGAAGTATCTCTATATGATCAATAGTTTTCATTTTTTCTCCTGTTGTGTGCATACAGATTTACATGGATATACACCACTCCAAAGACAACATGTAACAAATCAACTAAAGAATTGGAGGACCATTTTTACTTTTGCTTCCAATACTTATCATTACCTATTACTCTCCATTGATGGTGGTGTGTTTAGTTTCACAAATAATCTGTATTAAAATGCACATGTACTTAATTTTTTATGCATTGATTCCACAAAAAAACCTTGGAGCACATGCTTTTTGCCAGGGACCATCCCAGGCACTCATGATATAGAAGTGAATAATAGGAAACAGACATTGAACAAGTGAGTGAACAACTATAATCATATAGCATTAATATCATGAGAAGTTCTGTTGTAAATTAAATGGACAGAGAGTGAGAATGAGGGACAGGTAAGCTTTATTTTAGGAAAGGTGATCACAGAAGGCCCCCTTGAAAAGTTGACATTTGAGGAGGTTCCTCAAGGAGAGGAGGGAGTGAATGAAGAAGAGAATTCTTGGCAGAGGGAGAACAAATGCACAGCCGAGGTCAGTGTCTTCGGGAGCAACAAGGAGGCCAGTGTGACTGGGCTTTGGTGGGAGAAGACAAAGGTTCTCAAGGGTCTCCAACAGAGTGCTCAGGGGCCAGATGATACAGGCTTTGAAGGGAGTGATGAGGGTTTGTCATTTTATTCTAGGTGTGATGGGAAGCCAGTCTCTAGCCATTTCACGCCATGATAAGATTTAGATTTTTGAAAGTTCAGTCTGGCTGGGAATTATGAGAGGTAGTAGAGCTTGTGAGTTCAAGGACAGACTCTAGTGTCAAACTTCCTACATTCAGATTCTGGAGGCTCACTTACAAGCTGTGAGTAGGTACTTCATCCTTTTACATTTCAAGATTTTTGTTTCTAAAATGAAGATAACTGTTCCTTAGAGGACGGTTGATAGGATTCAATGAGATAATACAGGCAAAGCATTAAGCAGGGCAGGCTCAACTAAGTGCCTATTTAATTTATGATGATAATGATTATGGTTCTCATCACAAGCTACTTTCCGTAACAACTAGGGGAAGGTTAAAATACTGTGGCTATTATAATATAACCTGGTGAGATTATAAATACTCTATGCTATTTTCTATCTTAAAATATGCTTTGTTATTTAAGATATCAATATGTGTGTGTATCTTCCTTACATGAAACTATACTGTCTGTGAAAATATTTTATTAAATCATGATTTTGTTTAGACATATTTTACATGTACCAGTGCCAATGTCCTATTTTAAGAAAGTATGTAATGCATCTCTTATGAAGGAAAAACTCTCCTGAAAAGGCAAATTACCAATTCCCTATTAAACTGTCTTTATCCACGTGAATTTTCATGTATCCATAGCTCTATACCAAGAAAATAGTCAAGTAAATATATTTTTATAAAAATACTAAATTTTAAGCAAATCTAAAGATTTTACACAATCCACTGTGATTCTTTGTACCTTTATTTTATTTGTTTTTAACCATACATTTGATGCAATTGCTTAGAAGAATCCAATTGCTTACAATGGGATTTTTATTACATCACAAAGACAAGACAGGAAATTAAACTTGGCAGTGTGCCATAAATGTTGCTTTTCTCAGTTTTCATCATAAATAATATTTGCATTTCTTATGCACCATGTAGTCTTACAGATCATATCAAAACGATTACTTAACTTGCAGATGTTTGAATGGCAGCTGACTGCCAAAATCAATTCAAGTAAACACCTACTAAAGATTCTATTTTGTAAGTACTTTCACATTTAGGAAGAATATTTTAGAGAGTTATTCCTAAACAAGAAATATTTGATGAAGTCAGATTAACCTAATAATCAATGCTTTTATCTGAGTAAATTTTTAGAACTTCTGGATAGTATGACATTTTGTTTTCATGTTTGTAAACTGTTGAGTCAACAGCAAGTCAGCCGATTGCTTTCTAATAATCAATCATTTATGTGTTGTGTATGGACATGTGCTAAAATCACAAAGCTGTGCTTTCTGCAGAAATACCTCTATTTTGACTAGAAATGAGTTTCAATGTAGGTTGCTTTTGAAAACTATGGAAGTTTGATATCACTTAGATGAATAATGACCACCAAAATTTGAATGAAATGACATTTGGGACAGATTTCTTTTCATATAATTATTTTTTCCCATCATGTCTACATGATGCGATGCTTTTATGTCATTTGTGTCAAAATGTTCTATTGTCATGTTTATCTTGTCTCAAATCATTTCTTTTGGAATTTTCTTTAAAAATTAGTCTTTTTTTCCTTCCCTCCTATTCTCTTCCATCTTTTATCCTTCCCATCGTAGTAGACTCCAGAGAGTCAAAGATAAAAGTTAATCAATTCCTACTTTATAGGAATTCCAAGTCTAGTAGAAGAGAAGAGAACAAATAATTAGAGCATACAACTCCATTGAATAATCTGTATAAAATGTAACAGCGCAACTATTTTCTCTGGTGTGTTTTCTGATTATGTTACTTTCTAGTTCTATTTCCCCATGTGCATTTTTTGTTTTTACTGCTTTTACTCACATAATCTTTCTGGATCCTCAGCAAAATGTTGAATTCTTATCTGAGCATTGGAGTATGTGACTGTAAAATAGAAATTAGGGGAAAAAATGGAAACGAGGGGTCTGGGATTCAGTTTCCTGTTCTGTTGACTTACTCTGCAAATTTACATGTAGCTTCTGTGAGCCACAAAGTTAGCTTCTATTTAGCCACAATATTTTTTTTTTTTGCCTTTTAGCACTTTATTTTTATTTATTTTTTTTCACTTTTGTTTTTAGCCTAGAAACCTTTTATTTAAGGTATACAAACTTCATGCATTTCATCAATGCAACTTTAGGAACATAGTGATTCTTCCCAATATTGTAAAAACATATTCCAATCTGAATTTAGATTGGTAGAATTTTATTTGTTTTATTTCTGCTTCTTTCACTCATTAACTTGGAATTATAACTATTTAAGCATAAAATTTTATATTGGTAAGTAGGTGATAGACCTTGTCATATTTTGAAAGTAAAAATGTTTCTAATGGAAGTAATTAATAGTTATTTTCACTGATAAGACTGAGATACAGTTAAAGTACAAGTATACCAGTAGTTAGAGGCTACATCTAGAGAACTTTAAAATGTTATTTTACTGACATTGTATATAAATGTTTCCTATTATAATGATTATAAGTAAATGTGAATTGATTAAGTACCTAAAGAATGTGCTGTGACAGTAAAAGCTGACTTTTCCAGCACAGTTTTGTTGACTTACAATATGACTTAAATTATATATAAACATTAAGGAATTCCAGATTCAAATTCTTTGAAATGTATTGTGTGCAGCAGAATGAGATAGGCTTGGAGGCAAATCCATTCACATTTGAATCCTGATCCTGCCAATTGTTTTGGCTCAGGCAACTTAAGCCTCCAGTTGTTTGTTCTTCTCTGAACTCAAAATAATACCTTCCTCAGAGTTATTTTGAAGTATTATAGAAAGTCCTGTGTGTCACAA